TGCATAGGTATATTTTGCATGTTCCCTGTGTTGGTTTTGTTGAAAAATTCTATGCACTTTTTTCAGTTGTAGTGGAAGGAAAAATCAATCTAGTCTGTAAATGTAAAAGGTTTTATCTGCATTCTATTAAAAACACAAGCCATTATGACATTATAGGAATATATATTATTATTGAAGCACCAATTTTTTTAATAAGAGAATATTTTAGTGTTTTTAGTATCATATTTTTTATTAATTAACTATTTTTTTGTCCAAATGCTGTTTTCATTGGTAGCAATTATATATACAGTATCTGCTACACTGAAAAAAATGATAGGCTACTACATTTTTTTAAGGTAAGTGGTTGCAATCAATTTATTTCAGCTACATTTAAATAAACAAATATAGTTGACTAACTTTCAGAGAATAAATATCCCATAAAACCCAAAGTGCAGTAAATCATCAGGGCACGATCTGAATGCACGGTCTGTGTTTAGCCTGGAAGGGTCTTATTTATTTAAAAAATAAACATTTTTGCAAGAGTAATTGTTGGTGTTGAGTAGTTTAGGAGGCTTTCATGAAGACCTGTGACCTGCGGTTGGGTAAAGGCTTTAAATGAAGTGTTACCAAAATATCTCGTACACTCATCAAAACAGTGTCAATCAATTGTGAGTGCATAGTGTACTTGATCAGTCGAATGCTTAACCTGGAAGGGTCTAAGTCTTCTTACAGAACTATAACAGAGGACGTGTTGGCGTGTGGAGGGAGTCCAGTAGTTCAGGGGAACATGAAGAGCTTTAGCGGCTGGGTAACAGAGCGTGGCCTGAACGTGTTGGAGTTAAATAAGCTGACATCCAGAAAGCCAAGGTCTTGGTCCTTTTCTCTGGAGTCTCCATGCACACGTCATGCTTGAATGACTCACAACATGGCTTCCACCAGCAATATAGGCACTCTATAGTAAATGGCGTCTGTTTACGTTGCGGATTGTATGTACTGCATGCGTCATGTCATAATGCTGGAGCTCTCTGGAAATAAGTTAAATAATGTGAACGTTATGCCTCATTGCTTTGCCAAAAAAAGAGAAATCGCTCAATTTTGCAAAAAAAAGTAAAATTGCATGCTTTCAAGCAGAGGTAAAAATATAATCATCTATGATGTTTTCCCCATTAAAACTTGACATTTTGATTGTGCTGTAGTAACTTTTAGGATTTTTTTTTTTTGTGCATAGGTATATTTTGCATGTTCCCTGTGTTGGTTTTGTTGAAAAATTCTATGCACTTTTTTCAGTTGTAGTGGAAGGAAAAATCAATCTAGTCTGTAAATGTAAAAGGTTTTATCTGCATTCTATTAAAAACACAAGCCATTATGACATTATAGGAATATATATTATTATTGAAGCACCAATTTTTTTAATAAGAGAATATTTTAGTGTTTTTAGTATCATATTTTTTATTAATTAACTATTTTTTTGTCCAAATGCTGTTTTCATTGGTAGCAATTATATATACAGTATCTGCTACACTGAAAAAAATGATAGGCTACTACATTTTTTTAAGGTAAGTGGTTGCAATCAATTTATTTCAGCTACATTTAAATAAACAAATATAGTTGACTAACTTTCAGCAAAATTTGTTTATTTAAATGTAGCTAAAATAAATTGATTGCAACCACTTACCTTAAAATGTTTTTAGTAAATTCAATGAATCATTTTTTTTTTTTCAGTAAAATGTTTTTTTTTTTGACAAACATTTTAAATAAAACATATACATTGTACAAGAGATAAAACCTGTAACTCTAACATTTTATCTGCATGTTGTTCCACTAAAAATAAAGTACATTTTACTTTGTGTCACACACACATTCGTTTTACCACAACATGCCATTTTGTCCTTGATTTGAAACATAGTTTTGAGTGTTGTATTTCCACTTAATCTGTTACTTTTCATTTATTGCATAACATTGATTTAGTAATGTTCGTCTTTTATGTCAAATACTGTAAATGTAAGATTTTTACTGTAGATTTTTAATAAATTTAATTATACTTACAGTGAATCTTTTTTTTTTCTTTTGTCTAGCTTGTATTACACAGTGATGCCAATAAATGTGAACTGAATAAACAGACTGAGATGAGTGTGTTCAGAGCTGATGTGGATGTATTGTGTCGGACATGTTTAGACAGCTTTTGTCTGTTTTGTGAATATCGTCTTCGGGGAATATCAGTGAAACGTCACCTTATAGTGGATCATGATGTGTTTATTTCCATACAAACACCAGAGTTTCAAACTGCAATTATTCTGCTGACAAATTATCATTAGTCTCTGGGTCTGGGTCATGGGTCTCTGCGTCACATTTTTGTCGATATTTGATCATTCTGTTCATCTGACAGAGTTTAAGGCATTCAGCAGGTGTGTTGATCCCTAAACGACCCATAATGCCCTTTTCTGTGCTTAGAGGAAAGAGCTTTGCAAATTAAGAGCGGTTTTGTCTCCAGTGACCTGAAAAAGAGCCCTTAAGACCCTTCTTTTGTCAAAGGAGCTCTCAGAAGGGTCTTACCTTCATACAGACACGCAGAAAAACTCTTCCACTTGAGCAGAGACGCTTCCAGACACTTGACAAAAGAGCAGCGGATCTTCAGAATGAACCAAAAGCTCACATCAAAGACCATCATCGACTTTCTGTGATCAAATCATTAGTTGAAATGGGTTACAAATTACAAATGTTTCTTGTGTGGCAGAATTGAAGATTTAGATGTTTCACGAAGAACCAATAAACGTGTATAGGCCCAGATTTACATATTTTTTGATTCGTTTTAAAACAAACGTTGTAGTTGAGCT